ATTGGACTTTGGTATCAACACCCGTATTAGATTTTGATTTAAACTCCTTTATTGATAAAAGTATTATCAGTTGATTATTGACCACAGATAATTGAGGCAAATTGACTAAATATTGATGTATTTTTTTTTTTTTTCAACAGGCGTTTCGATTCAAAGATCGTTGGATAGTTGCCGTCATTTTTCGCTGATTTTGAAGTGCATTACTGTTGTTGTAGTATAAACAATGAATAATTTCAAAATTTTGATGTTAATTGACGTTTATCTTTTTCTTTTTTCGCTTCAGTCTTCTTACCGTCCATCCGTCCTTGTATCCACTTTGCAGCTGTAAAGCCTAGATTCAGTAGTTTTCATCTTGTTTTCACAATACCTTGGTGTCGTTCCATTTTTACGTCTAACAATGGCGCCATTTTTTTCAACAATAACACCGTTTACGTTGTTAACGTTGGTCCTTGTCGTCTCCGTCGTCATCCTCATCATCATCAACGGTGTTATGAAGCAACAACTTTGTCTGCTGAAATGAGAATATGCTACCAATTGCGATTTGATATATGGCGTTGAATCAGCTGGGTTCACCCTAAATTTTTGTTTCCCTACATCTTTTCAGTATTCTTAAGCGTTCATTTCTTTTTTGTTGTAGTCGTTATTTATTGACACATTTGACGAAAACATCAAATACTGACCAGAAGAAAACTTAAATTGATTTGGAACAGTCATTTTACGGCGCGGTTTCGGAACTGTTCCACAAGTTCATTGGTCGTTCGATATGACGAACAGCTGTGTAACATGGGATATTTTTTTATCAGCATTGCTGTTCTTCATTTTTTTTTTTTATTTTCCACCGTTCTAGACGACTATATAGCAAAACAAGAATCATCTGATTTGCCCTTTACATGCAGTTCTTAAACGGTTTAGCATTTTATACACAATAAGTTGACGTGAATAATCGGTGAATACAGTTTTTACTTATGTATCACTGATATCTTTCGTCGGACAGTAATAATCAAAAAAGAAAGAGAAGGAAACAAGACAAACTGGTAAGTTAAAAACAAGTTTTGTGTTTCTATATTAAAAAATTTTTTAAATTTATTCTTCTACATTTTTCATACCTATCATAGTCTATCTTTTCCATTTTGCTTCATCATGTTAAATATGATCAATCAATCAAAAAAAAGGCAGACCAGTTCCGGTTGTTAGTTGCTGTTTTTTTTTCGCAGTAAACGTTAATTTGTACTTTTGATTTCAGTTTTCAAGGATTGTTCATTTAAAGGCGAAATAGTTGTTGAGGAAAAAAGACGAGAGAATGAAATTAGTGTAATATTAATCTTTGAGCATTTCTTGCTTCTCTTCTCTCAGTTTCGTTTTTTTCTTTCTTTCTTTGCTTTTTTTATCTTTTGGTTATTGGTTATTTTTTACTGTTTTTTATGCACCAGAATCTGTTGATATTTGATGTAGTTCGTTGAAGCCTATTAAGTATTTTTTTTTTTTCTGCTGACTTTAGTAGTTCAGTGAGAAAATTTGTGTGCTTCTGCGAAAAAAAAAATTTTAGTTTCACTAAACTTTTAGGTCTAAATGACAAATTGACGGTTTGACGATATAAAACTAAAACAGTTACGTTCATTTCAAGTGCTTTCATCGTGAAGGTTCTAAGAATTTGGTGTTTAATAAACAGGATGACGAATTTCTCATTAAAAAATTACTGTCAAAATAGCAACAAGAAATACAAAATGCTTACTAGCTTCAGAAGTTTTTCTTTTGCTGACGTTTCCTTTCTTGATCTTCCTGGACTAATATTTGATCAGTTAGCAGTTAGAGAGCTTAGTTCTTTAAACTTAAAATAAAATATAGTAAGATCTAAATATTGTAGGCGCTTCTACAGCTATATTTCTTGCTGTAAGTTATGGCATCAAGAAACTTAAGAAAGGAAATGAGAATTTTCACCTACTCTACTTTTGGTCTTTCTTTTTCTTTGCTCGTTTTTTAGCAAAAACAAAGAAGTTATTAGGTAATACGGCGTCAGTTGCTTTAGAAGCAAAGTTAAAACTACAAATAAGGCAAAAGAAGGAAAAAAATGATTGGAATTGAACATTGAACTGATAATTTTAAAGAACAAAAACAAAAGTTTTTTTTCACAAAAAGAAGGAAATTTTACGTGTAACATCTCTTTACTTGGTTTTGCAAAATTTTGCCAATTAATTTTTCTTCTTTCACTTATCTTTCATTAGTCTTTTTTTTAATTTTCACTAAATAAATTTTTATGCACCAGTTTTTTTTTT